TGATGATGAAACAACAGCTTGCCGAGCGATAAAAGCAGAGACTGCGAATTGCTGGCAAACTGGCTCAGTTGGCAAATAGCAATTGGAACTCAATATAACATTAATACTACAGCGCAAACTGCACCATTTTTAGAAGCAGATGGATCACGGATTTGTAGTTTTAGAGACCTACATGGAATTTACGTGAAGCAAGTAGGGTAGAAATTAAGGGTTGAAGGGGAGAAGGAGGGATGGGAGGTTATTTTTCCCGAATTTGTCATGAGCGCTCGTCTACTTATTTCTTTGCTTATTTTCTGGCTCCAGTCTTTTGGGTCCAACATGTATGCTGTTTTTTCTTACTTTTTTTCGATTCGTTAAAATGGCAACAGAGCAAAAAGGATTCGTTGCCAGTTTGCATCAGCGGTGAGAAGAAACGCGATGATGAAACAACTGCTTGCCGAGTGGTAAAAGCAAGGAGTGCGATAGCGTGCTGAGTTGGCAAATGCAGTTTATAATAAATTGCTATGAATGAAGAGTATCAGCTATAAAAACTTACGTTTCTTGCGAATCGTGAAAACCTCTGTGTCAGTGCGAATGACCGGAAAATCTCGGTGACCAGGGCAATATGCCGGGCACTGGCCATTCGCACCACAATCCCCCCTGGCCAGTGCGGCCGCACGCGTTAAAATTTCAATTGTAATTTATGTAATTTGGTTAATTGCGGTTCGTCCTTGCCCATGCAATTGACTTCTTAGATGCTCAATCGATTCGACGTCTCGAGGAATTTACGTGACTGAAGCGGTTATCAGCTTTTGAGGTTGATGCATGGAGGAGGGAAATGAGGGAGGGTCGGGGGACAAGGCAGAGGGATAGGATCTTCTTCTGGCTCCTCTCTTTGGATCGAAAGGAGCGGTTGTGGTTTCAAGATAGTTAGCGGAGTTGCCACATGATGAATGTATAAGCTAAAAACACATTTCAAGTGTTTGTCTATCTGTCCACTCACACACACATTTCATTTGTGGGATTGCAGAAGCTAGGAAGCTGAAATTTTACGGAAAAAATCTTAAACAATCATGAGCGGGCCCTTGAAACCGAAGGTTAGCCTTTTATGTCAAGATCCCAGACATCAAATTTATAATCAGGTAAATTTTATAAATTCTGGGGCAGAATTTTCCACTCTCCAGAAATATAGATTCAACTTTTAAGTTGCTCTTGCCCTTTAGCTTCATGTTTAATATTAAGCAGAAATTCGTCTGTTGTAAAATAAGCCGGAGGATGCTTCTGTATGAATTTTCAGGGGTCAAATTCCCCGGCCAAATAGTGCTATAGACCCCCTACCCTCCGATCCTCTCGCTCATCAGAAGTCGATTTTGGCATCGGTCGAACCGGGTCGAGTTTTAGTAATTGCTGTAAGAAATCGATTAAAAGAGATTGAAGGATGTGAAGGCGAAATTTCGGTGGACGGTTGGTTACTCTCCGAGGGTTCGTAGTATGTCTGGAGTGGGGGAAGG